TCAATAGAAAGAAAACAGTTTATACAATTCTATCAACTGATATGAGAAGAATATTTCACATCTCTAATATAGAAGAATTAAATCTGTTTATATATTAATAAGTAAAGAGAATGATTTACAAGATCTCATCTGAAAGTATTCTGTATATCATACAGAACCTGAAAGCAGAGGAAATCAAGATAAAGAATATATGAGAGAACAAGTGTATGAAGAAACTCTTGAAGAAGTATGAAAAGATCTTCTAAACAGATCTTTCACTGAAATTGCTGCTGAAATGAGGATTTGTGCATGAGATTGATATGAGAGATATATAATCAGTCAATCAAAATACATACTCTCTGTCACAGACATATTCTGAAGAATAGAAGTGTCAGATCACTGATCTTCTAAAACATAGTCTTATATAATTCTTATCAAGTACATGAGGCTTCTCAGTTCTATTTCTGAAAAAGACAGATGAGAAGTGATGAATATGTATCAATTATCAAGCACTTAATAAGCTTATGATCAAGAATGAATATTCACTGTCACAGATTCAATAATAGTTGAATATGATTGAAAACATCTGATATCTATCAAAGATCAATCTTCTCTCAGAATACTAGCAGATTCATATAAACAAACTGTCAGTACTGTGAACTATGTTTAATACATAATAAAGAAAGTTTGAGTTTCTGATAATATTATTTAGTCTGATAAATACATCTGTCATCTTTTGAACAATGATGAATATAATTCTTTATAAACAGAATTGAATCTTATATCTTGTATATCTGAATAACATTCTAGTCTTCTCAAACTTATATGATAAACATCTGAAATATCTTGATAAAGTGCTTATAACTCTGACAGAGTATAAGCTCTATATTAAATCAACAAAGTTTGTGTTTGAAATAGAAGAGTTGAAGTGTATAGAATATATAGTAAGTGATGACTGTATATACCTCATTCTGAAGAAATTGAATGTCATAGTGAATTAACTGTGACTGAGAAATGTATATTATATATAACAGTTTCTTGAGTTGATCTTATATTACTGTAGATTTATTAAGAATTTTGCATGAATAGCTGTATTACTCTGAGATCTCTTAAGAGAAATAAATATTAATCTGTAGAATAAGAAGTTTTATTCAATTATCTAAAATACTGCATGTAAAGAGATCTATCTCACACTGAGAGAATATGTAATAATATTCTCAGTGTTTATTTAATCAGATCATGATAACCCTTTCTACATTGAGATAAATGTCTCTAAATAAGCTATCAGAGACACTTTTCTGTAGATGAGTAAGAATGACAAGCTGCATCTGATGACATATAATGATAGAAAACTATCAAGTACTGAGCTCAATTTCTCAGTATATGAAAAGGAATTGCTAGCAATTAAGTACACACTGATGTTATGAGATAGATATATCAATAATAAGTATATAATAATGATAATCATAGATTACAAAAGTCTTGTCTATCTATAATTAATAATGAAATCTTTTAAATACTTAGTACATTGAATCTCAGAGTTCTAAGTATACAATCTTCATATTAAATACTGAAAGAAATCAGACACTGTGATATCTGATGCAATCAGTCACAGACTCAATTTCATAGAAGAGAATTCTGCAAATCAGATATAAGAGAAGTTTATATTAAATATACTGAGAAGATGCAAGGAATCAGAATAAGCGAATACAATAATCTCTTACTTAAAGTATGATAAGATATCAAATGATAAGCATTTTATAAAAGTAGTAGAAGAGATACTTCTGAACTTTAAGCTAAGAAAATTAAAAAACAATGTTGTGCTTTACTATAATCTAGAATATATGAAAGCTCTCTATCTGAAACATTCATTTAGACACAACTTAATAGCTCACATGCACAAGGAATTCAGTCCCTTAGAAAGCTCTGAACTTATAAATGTACTTAAATTAAGAGTGTACTGACTAAGCATGGCTGAGAATATTGAGATGTACACTCATAAGTGTCTGAATTATCAGGTTGTGAAAGAATCTAAAAAAGAATTGAAATGTGAGAAAGTGTAATATCAGTTGAAATGTATAATATAACTGTTTAAATGATGAGAGATGAATCTCATAGACATATTATCATGAATGCTAAATGAAAATTATTGAATAATCACTGCTATTGACTACACTACTGACTGGCCAGTTATGAAAGCAGTTTCAGAGGTGATAGAGAAGATGATAATGAAGTTTCTATATGATAAGATGTATGTCAACTATGAAATATCATATAAGATTCTAACTGATAACAGTGTGAACCTTGTAGAAGAAGTGATGAGGCATTTTATAAGTCAGTTACAGACAAGATATTATAGAACAACATTATATCATTCATGAATAAATAGAAAGATAAAACACTGGCATGAAATCCTGAGCAACATGCTAATGAAATATCTAGTGAGTAAGTCTATAAGACTATGAGATGAATATCTTGAGCAGATGCTATTAGTCACATGAATTCAACAGCATGTAGTCTTCAAGTGTTTATCATTCTATCTGTTATATGAATTGCATCTGCACATTCTGAAGAATGCTTCAGAAAAGATAAAGAAGAGAACAGAAATTACAGATATAACAGTTATGAATACAGTAGTCACAGATGTAAAATCAAGATTGAAAGAGATCAGTCATATCTGTATAAAAGCTAATAAGTTACTCCTAAACTGAGCAATTTAATTGAAAAGAATATGAGACACACTAGTTAAGAAATTGAGTCTCAAGATAAGAATATAAGTTCTTGTATAAAACAAGAGATCTGAGAAGTTTCAATTTAGATGATTTTAGCTCTATAAAATACTCAAATCACATTCTCTGAGAATATATGCATTGAAGAAATCAGAGAAACAGGTCTTATATAACTTAATAAATGATTCATATCTTATGAAGATGAAGACGTAAGACCTGGAGTGAATTATGATTATTCACAGCACCATCATCAGTATTGAAAAAGAAGAGACTTATAATTAAAAAGTCTTATAAAGTAAGAAAAATCATAGACACTTACAAATTGAATAATCTCACTTATTCTAATCTTTTCATGATTATAAGAAAAGAATGAAAAGCAATGAAGAAATTAAGTAAATATCACACTTCAATAAGTGATGAGACTGTAGCTGATTGTATTATTTTAGACTGACCGTGTGACCGTGTCTGGGACCAGGACCAGATTTTTTGATAGTCTCATTATCAATTCGACTGATCCCATTACACGGTTTTAACATTAGATAGTAGTCTCATACTGTCTCAGTGAGACTTACTGTCTACTCTTGTCACATTTTTCAAATGAGACCATGATTTTCACTTCTCAATTTAAATTATTTTTATTGCTTTAAATGACTTTAAATCTCATTTGAGCATTACCAAAAAGCGTTACTTTTTAAAAAATTAAAACTAGTCTAAAGAAAACCTTAAAATGTCTAAAAATAGTAACTTTATGCCAAGAATGGGACTAAATGGGACCAAATGAGATCACTTTCTCATTTTTTTCAAGTCATGGTTCCATTTTAAGATCTGATATATAGTCACTTTACATGTTTTTTTAATAGCCAGTCCCAGCGGGATTCACGCCAAGAAATGTATGAGACCAGACCAAATGGGACCAAACGTGAAATTCATGGTCCCGGCGGCCAGTCTAATAATAATGCACTGTAGATAGCAGGTGTAACATGATAAAGAGCAGTCTCAAAGTAGCAGACTTGTATATAAGTCAGATCACAGAAGCAAAAGAAATTCAGAGTTGAATTTAACTGTTTACATCAGTTCAATTATAAAGACAATAGAGAATGAAGTATCTGAAACATCTGCAGATATGTGAGACTAGACTGACTGTGTGACCATGTCTGAGATCAGGACTAGATTTTTTAATAGTCTTATTATCAATTTGACTGATCTCATTACATGGTTTTAACATTAGATAGTAGTTTCATACTGTCTCAGTGAGACTTACTGTCTACTCTTATCACATTTTTCAAATAAGATCATGATTTCCACTTCTCAATTTAAATTATTTTATTGCTTTAAATGACTTTAAATCTCATTTGAGTGTTATCAAAAAGTGTTACTTTTTAAAAAATTAAAAATAGTCTAAAAAAACCTTAAAATGTCTAAAAATAGTAACTTTATGTCAAGAATAAGACTAAATGAGATCAAATGAGATCACTTTCTCATTTGTTTCAAGTCATGATGTGATTCAAAGATTGCTTGAGTCAGCATACAATTACAGGCATACATCAGCTTCTTATATACATTATACTAAATTAATTAGTGACTACTATGACCTCTTTACATTCATAAGCATATTCAGAAGTGTAAGCATGTTCAGAAGCAACTGTGTTATTATTAGACTAGCCGCTGAGATCATGAATTTCACATTTGATTTCATTTGGTCTGATCTCATATATTTCTTGGCATGAATCCCACTGGGACTAGTCATTAAAAAAATATGCAAAGTGACTATATATAAGATCATAAAATGAAACCATGACTTGAAAAAAATGAGAAAGTGATCTCATTTAGTCTCATTTAGTCTCATTCTTAGCATAAAGTTACTATTTTTAGACATTTTAAGGTTTTTTTTAGACTATTTTTAATTTTTTAAAAAGTAATTCTTTTTGATAACACTCAAATAAGATTTAAAGTCATTTAAAGCAATAAAAATAATTTAAATTGAGAAGTGAAAATCATGATCTTATTTAAAAAATGTGATAAGAGTAGATAGTAAGTTTCACTGAAACAGTATAAGACTACTATCTAATGTTAAAACTGTGTAATGGAATCAGTTGAATTGGTAATAAGACTATCAAAAAATCTGGTTCTGGTTTCAGACACAGTCACACAGTCAGTCTAGTTATTATTCAGCAGTTATACATTCTTTCAAATCACATTCTTCTTCATCAGATTCAGTCACACTCATATAATCATGATGTACACTCTAGCTTCATGCGGATTAGCATGCCACTAGTGTTTATAATTATATAGTCTATTTCTGATTCAGCTAGTATTCTGTGTACACTCTTACAAAGAAACTTTCACTATATTATATTACTTATTCACTAACTTTTTTCATTCTTTAATCATCTTCTTCATTGTCATTATTATTAATCATTATTATTTTATTCAAGATTTCTGCTTCTTCTTCTGTTTAACATCTTCTATCTGTTTATCTATTATATTATATATATTTCTGACAATGACTCTCTATTCTTATAATAAGTGTTATTATAGTACTTATACTGAGCAGTTCATTAGCAGTAAGTATAATACATTGTGAAATGTGACCAGGACTTGTTTATCTTCTAATGATTGTTAGAATATACTACTATAAATGACACATCTTCTTCATCTTCTTATATACTCTCAATCTTCTTTTTTCAGCAGATATCTGATAATGTTTTCTGCTCATATTTCCTGATCATTTTACATGAATACAGATACTGATATATTTGTTTTAATTTGTGTAGAATCTTCATGTGTTAACAGATCTGTGTCTGTCAATGATTGTGATCTCAATGTTGAATTCTTGATTGAGAACTTGAGAGATGTGATAATGAAGAAATTATTTATATTATATATAAGCAGATCTTCTGCATCTCTTTCTGCTCTCTCTGTTTCTTTCTCTACTACTTCTCTTCAATCTTCTACACCTGCTTCTGTGTCTGATTCTCCCACTTCTGCTACTTCTATTTCTGTGACTCTCACTTCTGCTTCTGCTACTTCTGCTCTTTCTATCTCTGTCACTTCTGTCTTTATTATCAACTCTCCTCATTTCAAGAAGATGTTATGTAGGCTTGATAAACTACATTTCTCAGTATGTATACTCTTATTCTTCTTACTGATTTCTAGAATGATCTATTATATAAACACTGTGTATAATATAACTATTTAAAGCTCAGTCACAGACACTGATTATTATATTCATTTTAAATATTTATAATAAGATAATTATTTATTTGTACTGAAGAATCACTTTTCTTCTTAACAGTATTAAGATTATAAGACTTTTCTTTTTTCTCTTCTCTTCTAATACTGATTTTTCTAGAGAAAATTGTTATAAGTTTCATTATGTATAAAGTTATAATATTTACAGATATCAAGAAACTTTTTACAACTGTAAAGTTCAATATTATAAGTACATCTACTCTAATGAATTTCTTTAAAATAATAGATCTGTATTAGTCTATTCTCTGATGTCTGTTATTCAACTTCATAGTGCAGATAAAAGATATTTATGTTTTCAGAAACAGAAATATAAATGTTATACTCTTTTACATCTGCAGTTATAAGACTCATATGTCTTATCTGAGTTATCATTGTGAGAATAAGCTGTTTATGTATTATGTTCTTCTCTCTACATTTCTCTATGTCTCTCTCTCTCTTTCTGAGAAGTCTTGTATATGTTGTAATTGCATGTACAATTCTAAGATCAGTGAGTATTTATTCAGTAATTATTATCTCTGTTTTTACAGTTTTGTATACTAACAATGATTCTTAGTTACTTCAGTGTCAGAGATTATTTTAATTAAAGATGATAATACTACTGAGATTATTCTCTTTCACTCTCAAGCTTCTCTCAGTACTTTCTCTCTCTTCTCTGTGAGAAAGATTGTGTACATATCAGATTGTAAGTGTTCAGTCTCAGATGACTTCTACTGTTATTAATCTAATTCTGTATCTTCTTCTTCAGTTTCTTTTATCTCTGCTCTCTCTGCTATGACTTCTGATTCTGTGAGTTCTGTACTCTTCTTCAATTTTTCTACACACACATGTACACATTTCTGCATTGATATATCAGTCAATCTTGCAATAAATGATATTAATGTTGTATATAGAGCAGTAGAGAAATTGAAGACATGAACAGCATTGTTGTAAGAGCAGATTACAGCTCTTGAATTTCTTACAAATCTTGAGTTTTGAGATTTTCTTTGTTTTTGATGTTTTTCAGATGATATGGTGTTGAAAATAGATTAAATATATAACATATGAAAATGAATAAGATATATATGATAATATTTGTCTTTTACAGCTGACTCTTTCAGTTGATAATTAATTCATTATTTCTTCTCTTTCTTACACTTTTTCTTTATTTGCTAGTCACTACTCTTATATAATCTCTATATAATACAGTGTTCAGTGACTAGATTCAGCAGCTTTCATCTATTATGATTCTGTCTTATGTATTATACTGTTTCTCTTCACTCACTCAGATCACTACAGTGAACAGCTCATTGAAACTAACCTCACTCAATCTCTGAGCATTCTCAGAGATTAAGATAACTTAAATCTCACATGTTTACAGATGTGTCAGATGCTTCATTCTCTGTTATCTTCATAATTGAACTGATATAAATAGTTGAATTTAACTCTGAATTTCTTTTTCTTCTGTAATCTAACTCATATACAAGTCTGTCACTCTGAGACTGCTCTTTGCCATATTATGTCTACTATCTATGATGTATTATTATACAATCAGCTACAGTCTTATCACTTATTAAAGTATGATATTTATCTGATTTCTTTATTTCTTCTCATTCTTTTCTTATAATTGTGAAAAGATTGAAATAAGTGAGATTATCTGATTCATAAGTGTCTATGATTTCTCTTACTTTGTAAGACTTTTCAATTATAAGTCTCTTCTTTTTCAATACTGACAATAGTGCTGTAGATGATTATAATTCACTCAGATCTTGTATCTTTATCTTTATAAGATATGAATCATTTATTAAGTTATACAAGATCTGTTTCTCTGATTCTTTCAATACATATATTTCCAGAGAATGTGATTTGAGTATTTTATATAGCTCAAATCACCTAGATTGAAACTTCTCAGAACTCTCATTATATATGAGAGCTCATGTTCTTATCTTGAGACTTGATTTCTTAACTAGTGAGTCATGTATTCTTTTCAATTGAATTGCTCAGTTCAGAAGTAACTTATTAGCTTTTACACATGTGTGACTGATCTCTTTTAATCTTGATTCTGTGTTCACAACTGCTGTATCTATAACTGTTGTATCTGCAACTATTATTTCTACTGTATCTGTAACTGCTGTGTCTGTAACTACTGTTCTCTTTCTCATCTTTTTCAAAGCATTCTCTGAGATGAGCAGATGCAATTCATACAACAGGTAGAATGATGAATGCTTGAAGACTGCATACTACTGAATTCATGTGACTAATAGTATCTGACTGAGATATTCATCTCATAATCTTATAGACTTACTTACTAGATATTTTATCAGTATGTTGCTCAGAATTTTATTCAAGTATTTCATCTTCTCATTCATCTGTGAATAATATAATGTTGTTCTACAATGTCTTATCTGTAACTGACTTATGAAATGTCTCATCACTTCTTCTATAAGATTCACACTGTTATCAGTTAGAATCTTGTATGATATTTCATAGTTGATATAGATCTTATTGTATAGAAACTTCATCACTATCTTCTCTATTATCTCTGAAACTGCTTTCATGACTGACCAGTCAGTAGCATAGTCAATAGCAGTAATTACTCAATAATTTTTATTTGACATTTGCAGTAGTATATCTATGAGATTCACTTCTCATTATTTAAACAGTTATATCATACATTTTATCTGATATTATACTCTCTCATGTTCTAATCCTCTCTTAGATCTCTTCATAACCTGATAATTCAGATACTTGTGAGTGTATATCTGAATGTTCTCAGTCATGCTTGATCAGTACACTTCTGATTTAAGTACACTCATGAGTTCAGAGCTTTCTAAGTGACTGAATTCCTTGTGCATTTAAGCTATCAAGTCATGTCTAAATAAATGTTCTAGATAGAGAGCTTCTGCATATTCTAGATTACAGTAAAGTATAACATCATTTTTTAATTTTCTCAGCTTAAAGTTTAAAAGCATCTCTTCTACTACTTTTATAAGACACTTGTTATCTGATATCTTACTGTTTCTCAAGTGAGAGATTCTTGTATTCACTTATTCTGATTTCTTGCATTTTCTCAGTATATTTAATATAAACTTCTCTTATATCTGATTCACAGAATTCTCACTCATAAAATCAGATCTGCAACTGATTGTATCAGATATCACAGTATTCAATTTCTTTCAGTATTTGATATGAAGATTATACACTTGAAACTCTGAGATTCAATATACTAAGCATTTGAAAGGTTTTATCATTGATTGTAGATAGATGAGACTTTTATAATCCATGATCACTGTTATTATATATCTGTTATTAATATATCTATCTCATAATGTCAGTGTGTGCTTAATCACTAGCAATTTCTTTTCATATACTGAATAATTGAGCTCAGTGTCTGATAGTTTTCTATTATTATATGTTATTAGATATGACTTACTGTTCTTACTTATCTGCAGAAGAGTGTCTCTGATAGCTCATTCAAATGCATCTGTCTTAATGTAGAAAGATTTATTATAATCTGATTAAATAAGTACTGAGAATGTTATCACATATTCTCTCAGTGTGAGAAAGACCTCTTCACATGTGATATTTCAGATAATTGAGTGAAACTTCTTCTTCTACAGATTAACATTCATTTCTCTTAAGAGATCTGAGAGTGATACAGCTATTTATATAAAATCTTTGATAAATCTGCAGTAATATGAAATTAACTCAAGAAACTGTTGTATATAATATATATTTCTCAGTCATGACTAATTTACTATGATATTCAATTTCTCTGAGATGAGGTGTATACAGTTATCACTTATTACATGTTTCATGAACTTCAACTCTTTCATTTCAAACACACACTTGATTGATTTATTATAGAGCTTATACTCTGTCAGAGTTGTAAGCACTTCATTAAGATGCTTTAGATATTTATTATATAAGTTTGAGAAAACTAAGATATTATTCAGATATATGAGATATGAGATTTCATTCTGTTTATAAAGAATTATATTCATCATTGTTTGAAAGATAGCAGATGCATTTATCAGACTGAATAGTATTATCAGGAATTTGAACTTCTCTCATTATATATTAAATGCTGTTCACAGTACTGACTATTTATCTACACAGATCTGTCAGTATTCTGAGAGAAGATCAATCTTCAATAGATATTAAGTATTTTCAACTGTATTTAACTGTTATTGAATCTGTGACAGTGAATATTCATTCTTGATTATAAGCTTATTAAGTGCTTGATAATTAATACATATCTGTCACTTCTCACCTGTCTTATTCATAAATAGAACTGAGAAGTCTCACATGCTTAATGAGAGTTATATGAGACCATATTCTAGAAGGTCTGTGATTTGACACTTCTGTTCTTTGAGATATGTTTGTGACAGAGAGTATGCATTCTGATTGACTGGTTTCATATTCCCTGTGTCAATCTCATGTATGAATTCTCATTTCAGTGACAATTCTGATAAAAGATCTGTTCAAAAGATCTTCTTATACTTTTTCAGAAGTTTCTTCATATGCTTGTCCTTCTGTATATTCTTTATCTTGGTTTTCTTCACTTTCAGATTCTGTATGATATACAGAATGCTTTTAAATGAGGTCTTGTGAATTGTTCTCTTTACTTGTTAATATGTAAGCAGATTTAACTCTTCTATATCAGAGATGTGAAATATTCTTCTCATATCAGTTGATAGAATTGTATGAATCATTTTCTTTCTATTAATTAACTGTATATAATATGTACATCATTGAATCTGTGAATTGAATCTTTGAATTAATTAAGTCTGAGAATAAGGGTGCATCTCATGTTCCGCAGCTCTCATACTCAGATATAGCAAGATTATTCTCTGAAGTATAAGAGAACTCTTACTCTTGCACATGATACTAAATATCAGTTATCAGACAATCTTATATATTGAGAATTCTTCATTTGACAGATCTCTTTTAGTCTTCAGATTATATAATTATTAATATATTATATAGAAGCTTCTGTAATCACTAACACTTTTACAGTCATCTCTTAATTCTTATTCAAGTGCTCTCTATACATTAACATTTTGAGTCTTAAGATATTGATATGAGTGTCTGCTTCTTCATTCTCATCTGTATCTCATTCAGAAGCCTGCTTTCTCTTTGCATTTACAGAATTCAGAGAGTCATCTAACATGAGTATGTCTTTCACTTTGAAGACTTTTCATAGAATATCAGTGAGTATCTCTGAGCTCACTGATTCTGTCAGTTTTTTGACTCTCTTACTTTTCTTAACTGTGTATACTATATATAATCTTTTACATCATGATTTTAGCATCTGCAGTTGAAGCAAGCTTGATGCTTGTGATATCAAGATTTTCACTCAGAGAATTCCTTTTTCAGAGAATTCAGTGCTTTAGTGATAGCATTCAGATCTAGATTTATTGTGTTCAGATGTATGACTTGTATTATAGAAGTCTGATTATTTGTTCTCTATTGAGATATACTCAATTACAGTATTTTCTATTATAATTAACTTACTTATTTCTGTATAATGAGAATGTTGTATACTTCTTTCATTATATCTGATTATAAGATTAAGCATTTTTATTTCACTCTTAACTCAGATATAAGATTATGAATAAAGATCTATAAACAGAAAGATGTTAAAAGCTCTTCATTCAATATAAAATAGTATAAGCTGAAGTGTGTGAAGTATAATATAAGATCACTTACTTATCTACACTCAGTGAAGTATTTATAATACTTAGCTTATATATTCACTTTCTTAAAGTTGTGCAAGATTCATTTGAAAAACTCATTCTATACTCGTGAAAATGAGTATCACTTTCAATCTGTGAGATTCATCTTTTCATCAGTTATTTATAATGACTTTGCTTTTTCATATAGAAATGTAACAGATCTTAAGACTTATTGAAATTCTGTTAACTGTCTATCTGTGAGTTCATATTCAATTTGATAATATAATTGTATCTGACTTAGTCAGCTAATTACAGCATTATTTTTTCAGTTGCTATTAAAGCTTAATGACTTCAGTAGATCTCTCAGCTTAGTATATCTCAAGTTTGAATTCTTATTATATGCAGCAGTCTCAGATGATGTGTATACTTCTGAGAAAGTTATAAATAATTGTGATAAGATCTTCAGATTTAGTGTGATTATCTGTCTGTATAAACATTTAATCTTCTATTACAGGTCTATGACCTGGTTTTCTCTATTCTTATTAATGATGATGATTGCATCAGCAAAGTTCTTCATAGTGAATGCTTAATCTGTGATAAATATCAATTATTGCTTAGCTTCTGTCTCAGCCTCTCACTGTGTATACAAGGCCTTGATCTCATTTAGAATTGTTGTACATATACAGAGTTTTGCTTTCAGTTCAGCAGTCTCAGCTGCTTTTCTTACTGCTTTAAATAAACTCTCTGAGAGATTCTGCATATCTTTCAGTTCAGATAGCAGAGAAGAGTATTTGTATTAACTAGAGAAGATATTCATTTCAGTGATTTCTTATTGATTATATAATGTCTTCTGTTATATTATTATATTATTATATTATTATATGATTATATTATTACATGATTTCTGATTTCTGTTTTCTATTATCATTGTATAACTTCAGTGATGATCATCTCTCTTTTATCTTTCTGAGTAGAGAGCAGTTTTCTTTGAATCTGATTCACTACTCACATTCTCTTTCTCATATCTTATCTATTTGCATACATAGCATTCATCTGAGTGTGAAGTTTTTTCTCAATAAGCAGAGCAGTATCAATTGAATACTCTTCTACTCACTGCTTCTTTGTACACTATCTTTTGAAATATTTTAGAATCACACTGATATGATAACTATGAATTACTTTGTAAATGAAATTATCATACTCTGAAGAAGTCTGCACTTCTCACTGATTTTTAGACATGCTATCAGATGTGATTCAAAGATTGCTTAAGTCAGTGTACAATTACAGGTGTACACTAGCTTCTTATATATATTATACTAAATTAATTAGTGACTGCTATGGCCTCTTTACATTCATAAGCATGTTCAGAAGTGTAAGCATGTTCAGAAGCAGCTGTGTTATTATTCAGCAGTCATACATTCTTCTGAATCACAATGGTTTTATTTTAAGATCTGATATATAATCACTTTGCATGTTTTTTTAACGCCTAGTCCCAGCAGAATCCACGCCAAGAAATATATGAGATCAGATTAAATGAGATCAAACATGAAATTCATGATTTTGATGATCAGTCTATGTGAGACTAAGTTATCTTAATCTCTGAGAACACTCAGAGATTGAGTGAGATTAGTTTTAATAAGCTGTTCACTGTAGTAGTCTGAGTAGATGAAGAGAGACAGTATAATGTATAAGACAGAATCACAAAAGATGAAAGCTGCTGAATCTAGTTATTAAATACTGTATTATATAGAGATCATGTAAGAGTAGTGACTAGCAGATAAAGAAAAAGTGTAAGAAAAGAGAAGAGATAATGAATTGATCACTAACTGTAAGAATTAACTGTAAAAGATAAATATTATTATATACATTTTATTTATTTTCATATATCATATATTTAATCTATTTTCAACATCACATCATCTGAAAAATATTAAAAACAAAGAAAATCTCAAAACTTGAGATCTGTAAGAGATTTAAGAGCTGCAAGCTGCTCTTATAATAATGCTGTGAATGTCTTCAATTCCTCTATTGTGGTTCGGAAGAGCGTACGACCGTCGGATAATAACGCGGCCGCTTCCGAACTTGCTTACGAATGTAAAGGGGCTATGGCGGCCACTAATTAATTTAGTGTACAATATATAAGAAGCCGGCGTACGCCTGTAATCATACACTGACTAAAGCAACCTTTGAATCACATCTGATAGCATATCTAAAAAACCAGTGAGAAGTGCAGACTTCTCCAGAATATAATAATTCCATCTATGAAGTGATTTGTAGTTATCATGTCAGTGTGATTCTAGAATGTCTCAAAAGATAGTATACAAAGAGCAGTGAGTGAAAGAGCATCTGATTAATGCTGCTTTGCTTGTTAAGGGAAAACTTCATACTCAGATGAATGCCATGTACGAGATGTGAACAGATATGATGTAAGAAAGAGAATGAAAGTGATGAACCAGATTCAAAGAAGTCTGCTTTCTACTCAAAAGAAGAATAAAAAGAGAAAGGTGATTATTACTGAAGTTATATAATGATAACAGAAATCATATAACAATATAGCAATATAATAATAGACATTGTACAATCAATGAAAAATCACTGAAATGAATATCTCTTCTAGTCAATACAAATAACACCCTTCTCTACTATCTGAACTGAAAGATATGCAGAATCTCTCAGAGAGTTTACTTAAAGCAGTAAGAAAAGAAGCTGAAATCACTGAACTGGAATTAAAGCTCTGTACACATACAAGAATTCTAAATAAGATCAAGACCTTGTGTATGCAGTGGCAGACTGAGATAAAAGCTAAACAACAATTAGTATTCACTGCAGATCAAGTATTCACTATGAAAGAGCTTCACTGATGCAATTATCATTATCAATAAGAATAGAGAAAACCCAGGTCTTAGACCTGCAGCAGAAGATTGAATGTTTACACAGACAGATAACTACACTGAATCTGAAGATCTTATTATGATCATTCACAATCTCTTCAGAAGTGTACACATCATCAGAGACTGCTGTGCAGGATGAGAATTCAAGTATGAAATATATTAAGCTGAGAGATCTACTGAAGTTATCAAGCTTTAATAATGACTGAAAAAATAATGCTGTAATCAGCTGACTAAGTCAGATGCAATTATATTATCAGATTGAATATAAACTCACAGACAGATAGTTAACAGAATTTTAACAAGTCTTAAGATCTGCTGTGTTTCTATGCAGAAAAGCAAAGTCATTATGAATAACTGATAAAAAGATAAATCTCACAGACTCAGAGTGATATTCATTCTTATAAATATAAAATAAGTTTTTCAAATGAATCTTGTATAACTTTGAGAAAGTGAATATATAAGACAAGTGTTACAAATACTTCACTGAGTGTAAATAAGTGAGTAATCTTATATTATACTTCACACACTTCAGTTTACACTATCTTACATTGAATGAAGAGCTTTCAACATCTTTCTGTTTATAGATCTTCATTCATAATCTTACATCTGAGTTGAGAATGAAATGAAAATGCTGAATCTTATAATCAGACACAGTGAAAGAAGTGTATAACATTCTCATAGTACAGAAATAAGTGAGTTAATTGTAATAGAAAATACTACAATTGAGTATATCTCAGTGAAGAACAGATAATCAGACTTCTATAATATAAGTCACACACTTAGATGTAATGAATCTAGATCTGAATGTCATTGTTAAAGCACTGAATTCTCTGAAAAAGAAATTCTCTGAGTGAAAATCTTAATATTACAAGCATCAAGCTTGCTTCAACTGCAGATGCTAAAATCATGATGTAAAAGATTATATATAGTATACACAGTTAAGAGAAGTAAGAGAGTTAAAAAACTGACAGAATCAGTGAGTTCAGAGACACTCACTGATATTTTATAAAAAGTCTTCAAAGTGAAAGAGATACTCATATTAGATGACTCTCTGAATTCTATAAATGCAAAGATAAAGCAGGCTTCTGAATGAGATACAGATGAGAATGAAGTAAATACTCATCTCAATGTCTTAAGACCTGAAATGTTAATGTATAAGAGACACTTGAATAAGAATTGAGAGATGACTGTAAAAGTGTTAATAGATACAGAAGCTTCTATACAATATATTGATAATTATATAATTCAAAGACTGAAAGAGGTCTGTTAAGTGAAGAATCTCTGATATATAAGATTATCTGATAATCAATATTTAATATCATCTGTAAGAGTAAGAGTTCCCTTGCACTTCAGAGAATGATCTTGCTATATTTAAGTGTGAGAGCTGCAGAACATGAAATATAATCTTATTCTTAGACTCAATTGATTTCAAAGATTTAATTCACAGATTCAATGATGTACATGTCATATGTAGTTGACTGATAAGAAGAAAACAGTTTATACAATTCTACTAACTGATATGAGAAGAATATTTCACATCTCTGATATAGAAGAGTTAAATCTGCTTATACATTAATAAGTAAAGAGAATAATTCACAAGATCTCATCTGAAAGCATTTTGTATGTTATACAGAATCTGAAAGCAGAGAAAATTAAGATAAAGAATATACAGAAGAATAAGTGTATAAAGAAGCTTCTGAAGAAGTATGAGAAGATCTTCTGAACAGATCTTTCACTGAAATTGTCATCAGAACAAGGATTTATATATGAGATTGACATGAGGAATGCAAAACCAGTCAATCAGAATACATACTCTCTATCACAAATGCATCTCAAAGAACAGAAGTGTCTGATCACAGACCTTCTAGAATGTGATCTCATATAACTCTTATCAAGTATGTGAGGCTTTCCAGTTCTATTTATGAAAAAGATGAGTGAGGAATGACAGATATGTATCAATTATTAAGCACTTAACAAGCTTACAATTAAGAATGAATATTCACTGTCATAGATTTAATAATAGTTAAATACAGTTGAAAACATCTGATATCTATTAAAGATCAATCTTCTCTTCAAATACTGACAGATCTGTGTAGATAAACTGTCAGTTCTGTGAACTGTGTTTAATATGTAATAAGAGAAGTTTAAATTCCTGATAATGTTATTCAGTCTAATAAATGTATTCATTATCTTTTAAATAATGATGAATACAATTCTTCATAAACAGAATAAAATCTCATGTCTTATATATCTCAATGACATTCTAGTCTTTTCAAACTCATATGATAAATATCTGAAGTATCTTGATAAAGTGCTTACAACTCTGACAGAGTATAAGCTCTATATTAAATTAACAAAGTATATGTTTGAAATGAAAGAGTTGAAGTTCATAGAATATGTGGTGAGTGATGACTGTATACATCTCATTCTGAAGAAATTGAATGTTATAGTGAATTAACTGCAGCTGAGAAATGTATACTATATATAGACTGGCCGCCGGGACCATGAATTTCACGTTTGGTTTCATTTGGTCTGGTCTCATACATTTCTTGGCGTGAATCCTGCTGGGACTGGCTATCAAAAAAACATGTAAAGTGACTATATATCAGATCTTAAAATGGAATCATGACTTGAAAAAAATGAGAAAGTGATTCCATTTGGTCCCATTTAGTCCCATTCTTGGTATAAAGTTACTATTTTTAGACATTTTAAGGTTTTTTTTAGACTATTTTTAATTTTTTAAAAAGTAATGCTTTTTGATAATGCTCAAATGAGATTTAAAGTCATTTAAAGCAATAAAAATAATTTAAATTGAGAAGTGGAAATCATGATCTCATTTGGAAAATGTGACAAGAGTAGACAGTAAGTTTCACTGAGACAGTATAAGACTACTATCTAATGTTAAAACCGTGTAATGGGATCAGTCGAATTGGTAATAGAACTATCAAAAAATCTGGTCCTGGTCTCAGACACGGTCACACGGTCAGTCTAACTATATATAACAGTTTCTTAAGTTAATCTTATATTACTGCAGATTCATCAAGAATTTTACATGAATATCTACATCACTCTCAGATCTCTTAAGAGAAATGAATACAAATCTGTGAAAGAAGAAGTTTTATTCAATTATCTGAAATACTGTGTGTGAAGAGGCTTTTCTCACACTGAGAGAATATATAATAACATTCTCAGTGCTTATTTAATCAGATTGTAATAAACCTTTCTACATTGAGATAGATATATTTAAATGAGCTATTGAAGATGCTCTTCTACAGATGAGTAAGAATGACAAGATGCATCTGATGATATATAATAGTAGAAAACTATCAGGCGCTGAGCTCAATTACTCAGTGTATGAAAAGAAATTGCTAGTAATCAAGCATGCACTGATGTTATAAGATAGGTATATTAATAACAGATATATAACAACAGTGATTACAGATCATGAAAGTCTTGTCTATCTATAATTGATAATGAAACCTCTCAATACTTAGCACATTGAATCTTGAAGTTTCAAGTGTATAATCTTCATATCAAATACTGAAAGAAATCAGACACTGTGATATCTGATATAATTAGTTACAGATCTGATTTCATGAGTGAGAGTTCTGTGAATCAGATATAAGAAAAGTTTGTGTTAAATGCACTGAGAAGATATAAGAAATCAGAATGAGTGAATACAATAATCTCTCACTTGAAGAATGATAAGATGTCAGATAATAAGTATCTTATGAAAGTAGTAGAAGAGATGCTTTTAAACTTCAAGCTGAGAAAATTAAAAAATGATGTTATACTTTACTGTAATCTAGAATATGTGAAAGCTCTCTATCTAGAATATTTATTTAGACATGACTTGATGACTTATATACATAAGAAATTCAGCTACTTAGAAAGCTCTGAACTCATGAGTATACTTAAATCAAGAGTATACTGATCAAGCATGACTGAGAATATTCAGATATATACTTATGAGTGTCTGAATTATCAGATTGTGAAAGAATCTAAGAAAGAATTAGAATATAAGAAAGTACAACATCAGATAAAGTGTATAATACAACTATTTAAATAATGAGAAATAAACCTCATAGATATATTACTGTGAACATCAAATGAAAATTGATGAATAATCACTGCTATTGATTACACTACTGACTGGCCAGTTATAAAAGCAGTTTCAGAGATAATAGAAGACATAGTGATGAAGTTTCTACACAATGAGATCTATATTAACTATGGAATACTGCATGAGATTCTATCTGATAACAGTGTGAATCTCATAGAAGAAGTAGTGAGACATTTCATGAGTCAGTTACAGACAAGACATCATAGAACAATATCATATCACTCATAGACAAATAGAAAAGTGAAACACTTGAATGAAATCTTGAGTAACATGCTGATGAAATATCTAGTAGACAAGTCTACAAGATTATGAGATGAATATCTTGATCAGGTGCTATTAATCACATGAATTCAGCAGCATGCAGTCTTCAAGCATTCACCATTCTACCTGTTGTACGAATTGCATCCGCGCATCCTGGAGAATGCTTTGGAAAAGGTGGGGGAGGAAACAGCAGTTGCGGACACAACAGCCGCAGGCGCAACAGTTGCAGACGCAGCAGGAACAGCAGTTGCAGACACAACAGTCGCGGGCGCAACAGTCGCGGACGCAGCAGGAACAGCAGTTGCAGACACAGCAGTCGTGGACACAGAACCAAGATTGAAGAAGATCAGCCACACATGTGCAAAAGCTAACAAGTTACTCCTGAACTGAGCAATTCAATCAAAAAGAATATGAGACTCACTAGTTAAGGAATTGAGTCTCAAGATGAGAATATAAGTTCTCATACACAATGAGAGTTCTGAGAAGTTTCAACCTAGATGATTTGAGTTATATAAAATACTCAAATCACATTCTCTGAGAATATACACATTGAAAGAATCAGAGAGATAGATCTTACACAACTTAATAAATAATTCATAACTTATAAAAGCAAAGATATAAGATCTGAGTGAATTATAATTATTTACAGCACTATTATCAGTGTTGAAAAAGAAGAGACTTATAATTGAAAAGTCTTATAAAGTAAGAGAAATCATATATACTTATAAATCAGATGATCTCACTTATTCTGATCTTTTCATAATTATAGAAAAAGAATAAGAAGTAATGAAGAAATCAGATGAATATTATACTTTAATAAGTAATAAGACTGTAGCTGATTATATAATAATACATCACAGACAGTGAATGCAATATAGTAAAGAGCAGTCTCAAAGCAGCAGACTTGTATATAAGTCAGATCACAGAAGAAAAAGAGATTCAGAGTTGAATTCAACTGTTTATATTAGTTCAATTACAGAGATCACAGAGAATGAACTATCTGAAACATTTGTAAATATGTGAGACTAAGTCATCTCAATCTCTAAAAATACTCAGAGATCAGATAAGATTAGTTTCAATGAGTTATTCACTATAGTGATCTGAGCAGGCAAAGAGAGACAATATAATGTATGAGATAGAATCACAAAAGATGAAAGCTGCTGAACCTAGTCACTGAATACTGTATTATATAGAGATTATGCAAGAGTGATGACTAGCAGACAAAGAAAAAGTGTAAGAAAAGAAAAGAGATAATGAATTGATTATTAACTGTAAGAATTGACTATAAAAGACAAATATTATTATATATATCTTATTCATTTTCATATATCACATATTAATCTATTTTCAATATCACATCATCTGAAAAACATCAAAAATAAAGAAAATCTCAAAACTTGAGATCTGTAAGAGATTTAAGAGCTGTAAGTCACTCTTATAATAATACTGTATATATCTCTGATTTCTCTACTGCTCTGTATAC